AGGGGAAAACACATGAGGCTACAGTATTTTACAGGGCAGCTGCAATGACAATACAAAATATTGCAACTGGTGAAATAAAAAGCAACTTTACTGGCCAACTCATTTCGCAAGTTTATATGCAAACATTGTGTCAAGGAAGCCAAGGGCAGAATTTAATCTTCAGGCCTGATGGATCACAGGCTGAATGCACTGCACATCATGAATGTAGGCCCAGGAGTCAGTAGCTTTATTAAAATTAGATAGAAACTCCACAGGCCATAATCCTGGCTGTATGTCGCAATGGCATCTGCTGATATCCGTCCAACTTCAAGACTATGAAATGAAGGATCAATGAGATTAACTTGCAGAGATCTGCTACAATAGCCACCTAGACACATGCAGCCCAAAACTCTAGCAGGAGCAGGTATGGGCTCAGGGGAAAGTGAGAGAAGTGACAGAGAAGAGACTGAGGAGAGAGAACAGTGAAGAGAGAGAGGAGGAGACAGAAAAGAGAGGAGAGAGAGCGAGAGAAGAGAGGAAGTGAGAATACCTAGCATGTCCAGGACCTAAAACAGAAGTAAAAAAACGAAATAACTGTGGATGCTGTAAATCAGGAACAAAAACAAATTTGCTGGGAAAGCTCAGCAGGTCTGGCAGCATCTGTGAAGGAAAAAACAGAGTTAACATTTTGGGTCCAGTGACCATTCCTCAGAATTGAGGAAGGTTCTAAGGGTCACCGGACCTGAAATATTAACTGATTTTTTTCTTCACAGAGGCTGCCAGACCTGCTGAGCTTCCAGCAACTTCTCTTTTTGTTCCTGATTTACAGCATCCGCAGTTCTTTTGTTTTTTACGTCCAGGACCTAGTCTGCTTGTGCTGTTTTGAAGAGATATGATGATAATAGTCTAAACTGGCAACATTGTGCTGAATTTCCTAATGAAAGTCCAAGCCAAGAACACAAGATCATTGAATCCAGCCTTTGGCTTGTACAAAAGAGAAAATACTGACATGAATGTAAACAGATATTCTGGCAGAAATTTGGTTACTTCTCAAGTTAACATTAAGATAACATGAGACCCAGACATGCTGTTGTGATACATACATTTGTCTGTATGTTTGAAGTGCTTTTTGGCATAATGATATTGCTTTAATTTGTTTGTTCCTGTCAGTGAATGGAGTAAGTTATTATGTGCTGGTGTAGAAGAAGATTTATGACTAAAGCTTCTTTTGTAAACTTCAGGCAATTTAACATCACGCTGTTTGTCTCCCATCTTGCAACAAGTCCTCCTTACCCTTCATTGTGCTCTTGTTGATCTTGTCTATTGACTCCCAGTGTCTTAGCATCTGAAAATTAAAATTCTCTTCTTCAGCTATATAAAAAAAAAAAAAAAAAAAAAAAAAATCGGTCCGCTTAACTTTGGCCTTTTGTACATTCCTGCCTCCTTATTCCATCCTTCACCCATCTACTCCCTATTTGTCAGAATACCCACGTGGCTTTCTTCCATTGCCCCTCCTTAACTCCCCCCTTTAGTCACCATTCCCACTCTTTCATTGGCTCTGATCATTTGTTCTCATTTTGCCCATGACAGACATTTAAGGTCAAATAATGGTTCCAGCAAAAAAGATCTCCAGTTATAAAGATAAAACTGGAGAAGCTGGAGTGTTTCCCTTGTAGAAGTGAAGGCCAAGAGATTTGACAGAGGTATTCAAAATCATGTCGATCCGTACAGAGTAGATAAGGAGAAGCTGTTCCCACTTACGAAAGGATTGTTAACAAGAAAACATAGATCTAAAGTAATTAGTCAAAATGAAAGGATTTTTGTTTCACACAGTGAGTGCTTACGATCTATAATACTCAAATTTTTGATATGGAGACAGGGATTCACTGAGGCATTAAAAAGAGAATTAGACTGTTATTTACAAAGGGACAACGGTCAAGGATGCAAGTAGAAGGCAGGAGAAACTGCAAGATGCTAATTCAGAGGGCCACAGCAGACACAACAGGCCAAATAGACTCCTCCTACACTGTTAATTATAGCATGTAAATGAAAGCTTTTCTTGTAAAATATTGTGCTTTACTGGACACATCCAGAACTATTGCAGTTAAGCTATTTACTTAGAAGTAAGATCTCTCTACGTGTCTGAGCAAATGGACGGAAACTTACAACGAAGAGATGGAATTAGAGTGAAAAATCAAGACTTACTGAAAATTTTTGTTCCACATAATTTCCTCTGTTTTCCAGCTTGTCTTCACTTGCATAAAAAGTGAAAGTCTGCATGACTGTAGAGCCTGCTCTGAGGAACTCACGGTGTAGCTGTCTCACTGAAAGAATAGCAACAAAAACATAAACTTTAAAATACTTAACCTTAGGCCTTACGAGAACACCTGCCAAATGGCTGGATGTTACCCAGGAGTTCAGTTCTTGAATGGCACAAAGGTGACTCTGCTATTGTTAATACTTGGGTATCAGACCCACATCAGTCCGTCAAATCAAACCCATCAAACTATACAATGTATAATGATGCTCACACCTGCACACTGTAAAGAAACAGAACTTCGGAGTTGTACTCATTCCTTTTTTTTCCAAAAAACGTCCACTGCAAACTCTTTTCAAAACAGAGAAGTCCATCAGGCAGCACGGTGGCTCAGTGGTTAGCACTGCTGCCTCACAGCACCAGGGATGTGGGTTTGATTCTACCCCTAGGCGACTGCCTTTGTGGAGTTTGCACATTCTCCCTGTGTCTGCATGGGTTTCCTCTGGGTGTTCCAGTTTCCCCTCACAGTGCAAAGATGTGCATGTTAAGTGAATTGGCCAGGCTAAATTGTCCATAGTGACAAGGGACTGTGCATACCGGGTGGATTAGCCACGTGGAATTGTGGAGTTATGGAGATAGGGTGGGGGTTTGGGTCGGATGCTGTTTGGACGATTGGTGCAGACTGCATGGGCCAAATGGGATTCTATGAACATCATCAAGTTGGATTAGTCATTTACTTTATATTTATAGATGACTAACTTTCTGAAATTACCCAAAATAACATGATTCTGTTGCAATCCTGATCACTACATCAAAACAAATTATGTATTTCCATTAACTAGTCCACCCAGAGGTATCCGTCTTTGGTCAATCAGAAATCATGATGAGAAATAGGTGGGGCTTGGGAATGTCAATTACATCTTCAAAAAAAAATTCAGCAAATTTGTCTGATTTCACCATGAACCTACTAAGATTGCCATGCAATATTAACAAGTCAAGCTAAAGGAGCAAAGTTTTATGTAGCAGCAGTCTTATTGGCAATAAGAACCATGTTCGTGGTTGCTTTGGTCATACCAGCCTCAGGATGCTCTATTGTTGCTTCTGGTGTCCAGGGTCCAGCTTTGACATATCCTCTCTTTTCAAGGGCAAATACAAACCCTCCATCTCCAATAATGACCTCCCCACAGGACAAACGCTCCAGAAGTCCCTGCAATAAAATTTGATGTCTCAATCATAAAAATAAATCAGGGCAATAAATAGTAATGTCAGTTATTAAAAATGTGTTGGTTACAATAGTCAATAGGTTTCATTAGAGAGGCTCACTGCACTCAAGTATAGTAACAAAATTTTGTAGATATGTCATTGAAGAAGGCATAGATGGGCAGACAATCAAGATTTCAGTCCTCAGGTAAATATTAACATCCATAAGTTGTGCGTTACACAACTGCACTGTGCCTAATGCTGGGAGCACATCAATAGTTTGTTTTAAAAGTATGATAATCAGTACAAGCACTGACAACAACAGGCCTACAAGTATTTCTGAGAGATTCTAACATTGAAAATATCAACTAGCTCAGTTAATCCAGCCATTGTATGGGGAATCCTTTCACTTTCGAAGGTGGGTAATGTAGGAGGCTGGGTGGGTAAGACAGTGAAGAGACATGAGATCCATGGTTTTATCTAAGTACAGGAGGAAAAAAGTTGTAGATATTATAAAAACATTTCATTTGGAATGTTAGTAGACTTGTTGGGAGCACTAGGAAATGGCCAACGCTGTTGGGACCAGATGGCTTTCCTGTTCTAACCAGTATCACAGTGAGTAAAAGACAGGTCACATGGAGCAAGGATGAAACCTTGCATTTCACCAAACTAAATGGCCAGTGTGTTGAAGAAATGATTAATTTGATGTGTTTTTGTAGAGTGAGTGTTTGGAGGGAGCATGCAAACCCCCTCCCAGTAAAGGGAGAGAACAGCGGGGCTCACACCTATGGATCTGCAACGTGCTCCTACATGGGTCTGTGCCGAGGGGTAATAAGGTCAGATGGTGAGGGTAATAAGGTCATTTGGTGAGGGGTAATAGAATATTTAATCAGAAGTAATAAAGACATTAAGAGTAATAAGGAAAGTTAGTTAGGGGTAATAAGGACAATGGTGAGGGGTAATAAAGACGGTGAGGGGCAATAAAGGCAGTTAATGAGGGGTAATAAAACCAAGAAAAAGGACATTTCTCCAGCGATGGAGAAACCTGCGTTAAGCCAACGCCGCTTCTTCCTGTAAGAAAAGGAACGCAACAAAATCCATCATTATTACTTGGCGGGACAAACATTGCGCAAGAAGCAGAAAGACTTTTAAAAAATAAATCATCGCATCAGCGGTTAGAAACGAGGGTGGAGAAAAAAAGCTGTTACTCTTTTGGCAGCGCTCTTTCCGTCTTTCCCGACTGGTGGCATTCCCAGGGCACTGACTGGCTCTCTGTACGAACTCGGCCGTCCTCTGTTCGCAGCTTCTACTGACCGCTAGCTTCGCACATTCTTATAAAGAGAGGAGAAGAGGTGGTCATCTTCCCTGTACCCGCCTCCCTGTCGCTCTCATTGGTCTCCCGGGGAAGGAGGTGGGAGACCAGGCTCCCTGTACAAGGGACAAGGTTACCGAAAAGTTGGGAAGTGTTTTGGGGGAGCGTCAAAGTTTGGGTAAATGTACAGAGAGAGAGGGTGGGGGAGGAATTATATTGATTTATTTCATGCAATTTTCTATATTCCAACAGGATATTTTAGGATCTGGCCATGTCGAGGCTGCTAAGGTGTTTCCCTTCTCCTTTTCTTCGTGGAAAGCTGCCTGTGTTAGCGGAGTGCTCCCGCTGGATTCCTGTCCGTCCCATAGGCAGCGCCCCATCTAAGGAGGGGTGAGTGCTTTCCTGAACCTCTTTGCACTGTCTGCACAGAATACACTTTCTGCCGTTCCAATGTATCGCGGTCTTCATTGCATTATCCTTGCAATGTATCATTGCAAATCCAGAAAGCCGCTCAGTGAATCAATGTTGCAAAGATCCTGGGGGCGCCGATTACATGGGTTTGGAGACTGACTTTTTAATATATTTCGTTATCTTGAGTCTCTATCATCACCTGCACCCCTAGCCTTTACTCTGTCCAACATATTCCAAAAATTAAGACACTGCGAGTCCAGCGTTGAATGCGTCCAGCATTCAGTCCAGTACTGAACGTAAATGCGCCGTGTCATTTTGTTTTGGATGTGATGTGGGCATTGCTGGCTCCTAGTTGCCATGGAAGTGGCTCTCTCGGCTATTGCAGAGGGCAGTTAAGAGTCAACTACCTTGCTATGGGTCTGGATTCATATGTATGCAAGGAAGGGAAATGGCCTTCCCAAAAAAGTTTTTAACAACTGATTTTATATTTTGGATTTCATTGAATCTTTAAGTTCCAGCAGTTGTGTGGTGGGAATTGAACGAGAGCATAAGCCTAATTCTCTGAATTATCAGTCCAATAATATTACCATTGCACCACTGATTTCCCAATACAGGTCTACTGTTATTGATGATAACCTAATCAAATACGGGCAGTTTACCTTACATGTGCATTTGGCATATACTCACAGATATACAGTGAATCTTTAAAAAATGTCAAAGGATACACACATCAGCAGGAGTATTTGAACAAAGTATGAATGGGAGCATATTAAAGAAAGCTATTATGATGCCAAAGAGCATGCAATCTTTGTGCAAGATATATTCCATATATTCTATTTATAAACATATGTGAAGTTTACCAGTGCTTTAACTGGTTACTTGTGCACATTTGCAGCCAGTGTCACATGTTGAAATAAATGGATTGATTCTTTGTGTTCTTCTGCACATTAGCAATGAAAATAACCGGACACAATTCCCTCTGAAAAGATGGAAAGATAATGCAGAAACAGTGATTATCGGAGGTGGCTGTATTGGAGTTAGCCTGGCTTATCATCTTGCCAAAGCTGGGATGAAAGATGTGATTTTGCTGGAAAAGTCGGAGCTAACAGCTGGCTCTACGTGGCATGCAGTAAGAAAACGATTTATTTATTGTGAAAAGCGACCATTTCTGTCATTTGATCTTCATTTTCTCTTGAAAACAATTGTGCTTAGTATGATGGCTCAGTGCACTAGTTTAGGTGGCATAAATTACAAATTGGTGTCGATATAGGGATGCATGCAATATAACAAAAAGTTCATCACAGAATCACAGAATTCTTACAGTGTAGCAGATGGCTGTTCAACCCATGGCTTTCTGAATCAGTATTTTGAGCATTTCCAATGTCCTGCCTTTTCCATATAACCCTGGACATTGTATCTATTTGAATGATCATCTAACATCCTCCTGAACGCCTTAATTGAACCTGCCTGCACCACACTTCCAGGCAGTGTGTTGTATACCCTAATTACTTGCTGTGTGGAAAAAGCTTTTCTCACATCTCATTTTGCAAATTGCTTTAAGTCCGTACTGTCTCGCGCCCAATCTTTTTGTGAGTGGGAACAGTGTCTCCATATCTGCTCTGTCCAGTCCCCTCATGACTTTGTAAACTTCTACTGAATCTGCTCTTAGCCTCCTCTTCTCCAAGAAAAAAAGTCCTGACTTCTCCAATCTATCTTCAAGACTGGATTTTCTAACCACTGGAATTATCCTTGTAAATCTCGTGCACTTTCTCCAATGTTCACATTGTTCCAAAAGTGTGGTGCCCAGAACTGTACATAATACTCCAGATAATGTCTAACTGGTGTCTTATACAAGTTAAACATAACATCCTTGCTCCTGTATTCTATGCCCCTACAAAAAATGCCAAGTATACCCTATACTTTATTAGCTGCTAACTGTTTCTGAAAAGCCCTTTAGTGACTTATGCATGTATACACCCACTCCTACACATAATTTAGGGTAGCGACCTTTATTTTTTGCTGTATTTCCATGTTCTTTCTACCAAAATATATCACCTCTCACTTTCTATCTGTTGAATGCCATTTGCCACTTATCTGTCCACTCCACCAACTGGTAGTGCATTTGTATTTTTCCCAATCTTCCTCACAATTTACAATGTTTCCAATGTATCATCAGTGAACTTGACAATTGTCCTGCACATGTACCAAGATCTAGATCTTTAATATAATCAAAAAAAGCAAGAGTCCTACAACTGACTCCAAGGGAACCCCATTGCTAGCCATCATCCAGGTTGAAAGTTTGTGTTCACTGAAGACGATTTGATCATATCTGTAAGGACTGTCTGAATAATGGCAATGCAACAGGCAGAGCTGAATAGAACTTTCCTTCATTTTATACAATTCTTGTCCCCAGGATGTTCTAAGTGGCTTTGTGGTCAATAAATTACTGTAGAAGTGAGGTCATTGTTGGGCAAGTCGACACACAGCTAATTTGTTTACAGAAAGTTCCTACATACAGACATAAAGTTATTGAACTTCTTTGGCCATGATAACTGTCAGGTGAATGTTAGGCAGGACATTGGGAGAACTTGTTTTTCTTTGGACAAGTGCCTGGAAGTCTTTTGTGTACTTGATGCCGCACCAGTTTAACATCCAGAGTATATTGCCCTACAACCAGAATATTGTGGCACATATCATCTTCAGATATAAAGGGATTCTTGAACTTGGTATAATGTTTGAGAATGCGTTAAGAATCCAATGGGTTTAGCTGACACAGCAAAAAAAGAGGACAGAAGTCAAGTGGTTCACTAATTCATATCTTTTCATATCTAATTCGTTTGTGTTACCGTGAACAATTTCCTGTCTTCTGGCTCAGAGCTTTGGACATGGGTAAAAAGAGCTCTTCACAGAAGGAGGAAAGACAAAGCATATTTTTCTAGAGTGCAGCAGGGCTATATCAGGGAATTGAAATGACGTTGCAATGACAATAGAAAAGTCTGAATTTGTGTTTAATGCCATGTTCAAAACACTTCCGTTGAAGAACACTCAAATGGTATTTTATATAACTTCAGAAAGAGTGATTTCTTATTGCTTTCTGTTAACTGTTTTCCATTTTTTTTTGGAGGGGGGCAACGGCAGACAACAGACTCCCCTGATGGAATCACACAATTTGACGATCATTAATATTACACGATTTAACAAGCATTGATATCTGAATTACTCATTAATTTATATATATATAAAAGCTGTAATATACTGCTATTTTATATATGTACATATATGTTCTCTTATACATAATGCGCTTTGTTAATAGTGTACTGCATTTAGCGTCGATATATTGTAAAGGTACAGTTTCTTAAGACTCATTTTGATGTCAAATGTACAATGTAAATAGACATTATTATTTTTTGTTGTTTTGAAGTATGTGCATGCTGCATGGCTTTATGATATGCTAGATGCTCCATTGCTATTCCCCAATTACTAATCCATTCTAAAACATGTTAATTAACTTGTACAATGATAAATATTTTTAATGTATATTTTCTACTGCAGCATATGTTATAATCAGGATAAGTTATACCTCTGAAAAAGCATTTCAGTGTAATATATGTGTATGTATTCTGAAATAATATCCAGTATTTGACTTCCCATTTTATATACAATTGAATTTATATTCAGTTGTATCCTAAAATTCCAGTACAATGGCCAGTTAAATTAATAAATGTAAATAAAGGCTGCTGCAAATAGTGCAAAAAAGTGTTTCGTTATTTCTTAGAAAATTGTCAGTTCCACAATACAGAATTTCTACCAAAATGTGCTTTCTTAAAATATTACAAATACCAGTCTACATAGAGAGATTAAACTTGGTTTTGACTTAGGGTGAGGAGTTTTTGTTTGATAATTGATAGCAAAATCATGAAGAGTGTGTTTATGAGTGTTTGCTACAAAATTGTGAACAAAATTTTCCTCCATTATTGGAAATCTAACCTATTTTTACACAAGTAATGACAGTGAGGGCAACTCATGTAGATTAGAGTGTGGCTCAAACCTGTTCACAGAAAGGAATTGGAGGATTGGAATGCCAATAATTCTAGAATCGCTCCAATTTCAGCACAGACTCACTAAGCTGAAAGGCCTCTTTCGGTGCCATGACTACTCTATCGACTCTACACCACTGCCTATATATAGGATGGAATTGGAAAAGGCTGAAGAACAAGTCAATAGGATATGATGAAGAGACAAGAGGAAAGTGATGAGGGAAACCTAGCAAAAATAAATCTTGAATGGTTTGCCAGGCCATTTCAGAGAGCAATTAAGAGTCAGTCATGTTGCTTTGGGCCTGAAGGCACATATAGGACAGGCACGCAAGGACAGTAGATTTAGTAGATTTCATTTGCAAAGGATCATCAGTGAATCCGATGGGTTTTTCTAATAATTGGGTTGTTTATTCAGCACCATATTAGCTTCATACTCCTGATATATTTAAATGCAGTAGCTACATGAGAAGATTTGAATTCAGGTTGTTCACTCATGGGACTGGATTACCAGTCAACTAACACAAAACACTATGCTTCTTAGAGTAGCTTATTGTCAGATCCAAATTCTAAAGCTGGATTCTAAACGTGTCTAATTTTCAAGAACGTAATTTTCAATTGAAAGCTTTTAAATAAAAAGTTGGAGCGTTAATAATTTTCAGCATACTTATAAATATGATGAAGTATTGTTTACTAATTGATCTATTGAAATATAGCATGGTCTAAAACTAGTGATACAGGATTAATGAGGCCATTAAAAAAACAAACAAGCCACTGGGAGTAATTCCTAAAGCGATAGAATTGAAAAGCAGTGAAGTTATATTATATTTGTATAGAAACAAATACAGAGAATGCTGGTGAATCTCAGCAGGTCTGGCAGCATCTATGAAGAAAGAAACAGAGCTAACATTTTGAGTCCGATATGACTTCTTCAGTATAGAAACTTGATCAGAACGCTGTTGTACACAATTTTGATCTCCAGGATGTTAAAAAAAGTGACACTAGAGAATATCAGAAATTATATCGATGGGATTGAACAGGCTGGGACTCATTTCCCTTGAACTAAAAGGTGGAACAGGTCTTTAACATTAGCGAGGCTTTTATTCAGCAGAAGTTTCCATTGTGAAGAGACCAAGACTAGCAACCATTAAACAAAATAAAATACTATAGCGATTGGAAACCTACAATAAAATTGAACATACTGGAGTGATGTGGCAGGTTTGTAATTATCTGTAGACAGAGAAACAGAGTTAACGTCTTAGGTTGGTGACTGCTATAATCAATGCTGAGGATAGGTCATTGACCTCAAATATTAACTCAGTATTTCTCCCTGCAGCTGCTGCTAGCCCTGCTGAGCATTTCCAGAATTTTCTGTTTCTGGGCCATTAATATAAGATTGTTGCCAGAAATTCAACAAGGGATTCAAAAACAGTGTCTTACCCAGTGTGGCTGAAATGTGGGATGTAGTTGAGTTGAGTGAATCTAAGGAAGATGGAGAAATACCTATAGGAGAAAGGGATATGCAATTCTGACAGGGTGAGATACAAAAAGGTGGGAGGAAGATCATGACATCTAAACTTAGAGGTCATTCTAAGTAATTACAAACCATCAGTGGATTAGAAGCTTCTTTTTTAATTTAGTCCTTGCTTCCATAATTTAACAGTCCATTAGAGATTTAGGTACATATCTCAATCTAATGTTCAGTAGAAAAGTATTTGAATTGTTTAGGTACTCTAAATCTGCTGTTCTGAACCCTTGGAATGAGCTTTGTTTGTTTTGAATTTGATCAATAGTTCTGAGAGTGTCTTTGTGTTGATGAACTCTCATCTGTTTTAGAGTGTTAGAAAACTGCACGTTCATCGCAACCTTCTCCTGATAATGGTGCTTTCTGTTTTTGTATGCTAGAGCAAGCTATTGGATTCATTTACTGTCTTTCACGTCCCAAAGTGAATTTCTTTTTGTAGCCTGGTTACTATCTTGTGGGCTAATGCAACAAACTTCCACACAGGAATGCCCCGTAAGCATGAATGAGATAAACATCGAGAGGTTTTTGAGAGATAAACAATCTGTTGTGGTGGAGGTGATCTTGATTGAGAGATGGAAATCAGGAGGACTGCTTTTCACTTACTCAAATAGTATCACGTGTTGTTTTACATCTACGCAAAGAGACATATGTGAGCTCAGTTTAGAACTTCTGAAAGATGGCACCTCTGACCTCACAGTACTCCCTTAGTACTGCTCCAAGGTATCAACTAGAATTTGTTGAAGATTGAAGTGGGCTTTCAGATTGCAAACTGAGAGGCTCAGAGATGAAAGTGCTACCACTGAACTGGGTGGATCAGATTTTGCAGCAGGCAATATTATGAGCAGTTGGCAAGTCAAAATTGTGGCTTATTTTCAATCATGTTACAATTCACAAACTGGATTTCATGACATTCACTGCACTTGCAAGACATTTGGGTACATAATTTCTCAATATGGTGCTTCAGTTAATTTAAACATGTAACGACTTAACAGATTCTTCATTGTGGATAGCAAAAGTTGATTCAAAATAGAGTTAGTCCCTGGCTTAGAATAATTAATAGTGGCTTATGCTGTACATTTTCTGCACTTTAATAGAAACAGTTGGAAAATTCCTTCTGAATTAGGTGTCTGTCCTTGTTCCCTTAGGTAAAGATTTTCAGACAAATTCATTTTTGCTTTATTTACATCTTAACTCCTAATATTTGGTTTTTCTTTAGGCTGGTTTAACAACATATTTTCATCCTGGGATCAATTTGAAGAAAATTCATTACTACAGCATCAAACTTTATGAAGCTTTGGAGGAAGAGACTGGTCAGGTAGGTGCCTCCGTTAACCTGTGTGTTTGCTTCGCCATCCATAACAGTAAATGTTTTATGTTCAAACCATATTTCATAGAGAATTATAGAATCCCTACAGTGTGGAAACAGGCCTTCAGCCCAACAAGTCCACACCGACCCTCAGAGCATCTCACCCAGACCCAGACCACAATAACCCACCTAATCTACACTTCTCTGAACACTACAGGGTAATTTAGCATGGCCAATCCACCTAGCGTGCTCATCTTTGGACTGTGGGAGGAAACTGGAGCACCTGGAGGAAACCCACACAGACACGGGGAGAATGTGCAAACTCCACACAGACAGTCGCCTGAGGGTGGAATTGAACCTCTCATTGTTCATTGCAAATTGATTGGAAATTGTCAACTTTATTTAGAGTGTTTGGAATGATCTAGATTGCCAGGATCATGGGGAAAAGGTGATATTAGAGACATTTTAGCTTCACCAGGAGTAATCTGTAAAAATATGCATTTTTATTTATTTTTAGAATGCAGAAGATCTAGTCAGGTTCTGTAGGATTTTTAAATCAAGAGATCAGATAAGTACGGTCAACATAGGAGGAAAAAGGAGAAGAAATGTTAGGCTAATTTGAAAACACTGGCAGGTGGCAAGAAGCAAAGGAAAATGTGCTGTGTTTGATCATTCCATGGATGTAACAAATTAAATTAATCAATCACTAATAGCTTGAGGAGGGTAAAAGCTTCAGGTCTGGATATACTTCATGCATGAATACCTAAAGAAAGCATCAGCAAATTAATCTTGTCCTTATCATTGAGATTAGACATATTGAAATATTGTCAATATGACACCAGAAAGGTGCAGTGGGATTATGATGAATAAAATACCAAGGCATGAAGCCTTGCATCAGTTTATGGCTAAGCCTTCAAAGTGGTAAACAAAAGATTCAAGCTCATTTTGAGCTAGAGTTGTACTACCCACCACATTGAGTTTTTGCATGGTATTTAGAGCCCACACCAGATATCTAAAAAATACTGATAATTAAAATCAGCGTTTTCTGCTTCTTGGAGGACCTTTTGATATACCTAGCACTTGACTCAGCATAACACATGGAGCAGCTCAAGGTATGAGCAGACAGGAGGACCCCCTTACCAACACTATTGAAAGAGTTCAAGTGGTATGTTAGAGTTATTTGATGGTTTTTCATTTCAAGCGGTTAGCTCACTATATCGTACTTTTTGACATGTTTCTTTCCTGAGGAGAGTTCAGCTTGTCTGATGAGAAGAGGACCTTGGTGTTTCACTTTTTGCTGGCCATCTTGTAATTGTATTCTTGGCCAGAGGAGAAAGGCGAGCAGCTAGGAAGACAGCAGAGAACAGGACCAGCAACCAGAAGAGGGAGAAGGAGAAAGGCACAGCAAAGGAGGTCATATCATCTTCCATATTAGAAGCATGCTGAACTAAACATCTGCCATAAGGGATCTGACTAGACTTGAAGGATGGTCAATTTAAAGAGACTTCTTGTAATGATGAGATCCATGCCATATGGGAGAAAGCCATTGTCTGTGCTACTTGTAAGGCACTATTTTAACTTTGAGTTACAATGTAAAACCGACAATATTGGATTGGTTGGATTTCTTTTTCAGTTTTTCTTCATGGCCGACCTGGGAAAGTATTGATCACTGTTAATGTGCAACACTGAGGTAATAAGTTCAACTCCCATTTTGGTGGCTATAATCCCCCAGAACAAACGATAATTGATTCAAAATTCCAAATCTACATATGCTAATGCTAAGCTATTTCTCCTTGAGAGGAGTATAACACAATTGGTGGTTGTAACACTTGAGCCCAATTTAGATTTATTTCTTCACGGGGGGTTATAACGCAGCATTTGGGAGAGGGACAGTGACAAGACCAGGTTGAGCCCTGTCACATGTTTGGCCCTCAGTAAGACCCATGGAAAGTAATGCATTTTAAGTTCTTAAGTGCAACTTTTCATCAACTCTGTTTGTATGATCTTGTGGATGAGCATGTATATGTCAGCAATGTTCCCTGTAAGATGAGTGGTCATGTGGTTGTGCAGCAACCTGGGAATTGCTGCACAGGGTCAGGGACAGGGATTTCCATATGAACATAGTGGTACAAAAAAAGTTACAGGAGGTGCAATATTAAAGAAACTGCTCACTCCTTCAAAAATAAGAAATGGGAGGGGGCACATTGTTTGCAATTTCTGTGAATGCAACAAGAGCAGGGTATATTCACAGCTGCAGAAGCTAATCTCACACACTGCAGAAGCAGTGGAAGAAATTCACATGGCCTAATGTGTATCGTGAATTGGACTGATCATGAAACATGAAACCAATCCTGCAAGTCCATTCATTTCTGTCATTGGAGATGCAGCTTTCTCATAATTTGTTCACACTTGGAATAGCAGAGTGCTTGCCTCTGACAGACATAGAAACAGGCTAATGGTAGAACTGCTGAATAAACTGCCAGCTATATTTACAGCATTAAATTCTTCATGTAGTTTTATAGGTACTTCTCTAACAAACAGCAGAGACCCTCTGAACTTAATATAGGAAAAAGCAAAGTGGAACTGAAGTTGGGCGAGAGACGTCTTGTTAATAGTCTTGTCAAAAACATTTGTGATATGCCAGAATTAACCACATTCTCAGTTGTTACTTTGGGAACATTTTCCACAGGCAGTCGGCTTTCATCAGCCTGGCAGTGTTCGGATTGCTACCACCCCAACACGAGTGGATGAATTTCATTACCAAATGACCCGGACACGGTGGAATGTAACACCACAGTTTTTGATTGGGCCAGAGAAGGTGCAGGAAATCTTCCCTCTGATAAATATTGACAAGGTAAACTGGCTTTCGGTTGATTTCATATTAGTCGATCATTTTGCTGACGTAGCATTTACTTTCTTTTACCATTTTACCTTGAACTACTTAAGTTATGTAAGCAGTTTGGATATTATTGTCAATATTTATAAAAGCTTTATCTTGAACAATATTTCACAATATTTTGTGGAACTTCTTCCACTTACCCTTGTAAGCGGTGACCGTTCTTGTCAAAAGAAATGTGTTAATATTTAATACAGGTGTTAGGTGCAGGAGAGTTCATGAGCATCTCCCAAACAAGCAGAATTTCCTCTTACAGTCAGTTTTATTTTGCACATAAATCTTAAACAAATATCAAATGTTTTGGAAGCCAGGCTTGTGTAGCTATCTTGTGTCAAACAAGGCTTTGCTAGTTTATGTCCATTTAAGTATCTAAAGCTTTCTTGACAGGGTGGATATGGAAAGGATGGGAGATTCTACAACTGTATAAATATAAGGGCTATCCTATTTAGGACAGCGATGAAAAGAAATTGTTTCTCACAGAGTGTCTTGAGACGTTGGGACTCTTTTCCTTGGGAGAAGGTGGAAGGAAAGTCTTTAAGTATTTTTAAGGCAGCGGTAAATAGATTTTTGGCAAGCAAGTGGGTGAAATGTTCTCATGTGTAGTAGGAATGTGGAGTAGTCAAGATCAGTGATCTTATTGAAGGGCAGAACTGGTACAAGGGGCCGAGTGGTCTACTCCTGCTCCAAATTGCTATGTTCATGTGAAACAAAATGGTCTAAAATTTCCAGCAACTGGATTGTTGGAGACCAGTTGTATGACAGAATATGCACATCAGCAATCTGTGGAAGTGCAAAATGGAACAGACTTCAAACAGAATGAGCAACTCAAAACACAAGATGCTGTGTCCAATGGCAGCAACCTCATGGCCTGGATTATCCCTCACTCTACCATTACCATCAAGCCAGGGATCAACCCTGGTTCACCGACGAGGGCACAAAGGTAGAGGATTGTGGTTGTTGGAAGTCAATCAGGTCAGCCCCAGGACATCTCGCAGGAGATCCTTAGAGTAATGTCCTTAATCCAATCATCTTCACTTGCTTCATCAATAACCTTCCCTCCAACATCACACTGGGATCTCGGCTGTTGATCACAAGGTTCAGCACCATTCATAATTCCTCAGATGCTGAATCAGTTCATGTCCATTAGCAGCAAGATGTGGACGTTATCCAGGTGTGGCCTGATAAATGCTGAGTAACATTTGTGCCACACAAATGCCAGACAAAGACCTTCTCCAACAAGCAAGATTCTAACCATCGCTCCTTGATATCCAATCTATCATTCTATTCGCCGTCTCTATCAATATCCTGGAAATTACAATTCATCAGAAACTGAAGTGGACGATACATATAAACACAGAGGGCTACTAGAGCAGGTTAGAGGCTAGAAATACTGCAGTGAGTAACCCACCTTGTTACTTCTTAAAGTCTGTCCACCATCTACAAGACATAACTCAGGAGTTTGATAGAATATTTTCCACTTGCCTGGATGAGTGCAGCTCTAATAACACACAAGAAGCTTGACTTCATCCAGGATAAAGTAGCCTGCTTGATTGGCACCACATCACCACCTTCACCAGTCACTCCCTTCACCATTGCTGCCCAGTAGCTGCAGTATGCACCGTTTACAAGATACACTGCAGTAACTTACTAATGGCTCCTTTGGCAGCACAATGCAAACCCATGGTCATACTATCTAGAAGGACAAGGGCAGTAGATACTCATGAATATCACCAACTACATGTTCTTTTCTAAGCCACTCACCATCCTGACTCGGAAATATATCGCCATGCCTTCACTGCAGTGATTTAAGAAGGCAGCTCACCAACACTGTCTCAAGTACAATTAAGGATGGGCAGTATATGCTGGCTAAGCCAGCATTGCCCATATCCTGTGAAGAAATAAAAAAAAAAAATTTCTGATCTGGTGACCCAGATGGGAATTGACTGGAAAGTTAAACTCTGAAAGGCAGTTCCCTGCTCCTGAGAGCCGACTTCAGCCAGTTTTGTGCTTTCCTGGACAGTTACCTACTGAAGCAAAAACCTAGTCTTACTCCTGGGTAACTGTAGAACTGATTCCACAATCACAATCCCATCAGGAATAGTTTCCTGACCCCTTCTTGACTATTCACTCAACCTCCCAACAATGCCCCCTGACTGCACTGCCTCTGACAACTGACTACTCCCTAGACCTGACTACCATGATAATATCCTATCACATTATCCAGCTGCCATCTCACTGATCTGCCACGCTAACCCCTACAACCTCACCCACTTTAGTCACTTACCCACATGCCTCACCCATGTACCTACCCTGCCACCCTCAGCCATTCGTTCATTCATTCACTTGGCCCATTTAGCTATGCACTAACATTGAAACTGGGCCTTTAACGTGGTATCATACCACAGCAAGTGCAGGAAAAGTAGGGGGAGTTTTGTTGCTACGATCGCGCTTTATGAGGGACACAATACAATACATTTCCACTATAGCTGGGTTTGAAAACTATGGCAAAAAATGCATTGTGTCAGAGGAAAGCTGAGAGCACAATGCAATGATGATCTCGAACGATCTTGGCCAATATTTTATCTTTCAATGTTATGACCAGACAGTGGTCTCTACCTCTTTCCATGGGAACATGTTTTGCCTTTACACTCATGGGCATTTTTCCTGAATTCCAAAGCAGTCCTGGATTTGGAATGAGGTTAATGGCCTTTCCTAGTGGTGTATGTCAATCCCATTAGAATGTCAGACTGTTAGCAGCGTTAGCCCAGCAGTTCCGCTCGCTGAGCCTAATAGCAGTCTGAGAAAGAGAACACTGTTTGCATTGCCCTTGTGAATTACGTTTTTAAAAGAAAAGCACTACTCCTGCTGTAATGTTTATATCTGAAGCATTTGGCATTGTTCTGACTGTGTTATTTACTGTGTTCTAGGTTCTTGCTGGGTTGTATAATCCTGGAGATGGCCACATTGACCCTTATTCACTCACCATGGCTTTAGCAGCTGGAGCAAGGCAGTATGGAGCTGAGCTGTATTATCCTGTTGCAGTAACTGGTCTTTCATCAAGATCTGATGGAACATGGGATGTGGAAACACCAGACGGTATTATTCGTGCAAACCGAGTAGTGAACTGTGCAGGTATGGGACTGTCTGCAAAGAATAATTAGACACCATCTTATAAACTGTGGTATTTCATGTTATTTTGACATGCATATGTTTAAAATGGTAGCATGAGAGAATGTGCACAACTTACCTGTGTTGTATACTGACCTGACAGCAAACAAACTTTTCAAGGTCCTGAAAACCTGTGGGTTAGTGACTTTGATACACATGTCAGGGTGACTTCACCCAAGGAGCACCGTCTTTAAGTCACTCCGGTGTATGTTCTAGGCAACGACCCACACTAAGGACATGTCTTGGGTCCCTGCTTTCCCCTGAGGCCACAGCTTGTGTGTGTTGTTAGTTATTACCTCGTCGGAAGAAGATGAATGCTCTCCTCTATATGAGAAGAATGCCTAAGGTCACACTACGAGAGAGAGAGAGAGACAGCATTGGGTATTTGTGGGTTCACTGTGCATGATTTATGTCTGGACTCCCACAGTAAGCTTCACAATCACTGATGGATTCCCCTGTTTGTCTTAATTGGATGCAGCAGCCACCAATCCTAATCAGGCCTAAGCAGCTTTTAAGCCAGGGAAATTGGACCATAAATGTAGTGAGTCCATTGTCACTCTGTCTTTGTGCCCTTGTTTGAAGTGGATGGAGATTCCAAACCTAATGACAGACATAGAAATACTAGGATCCTTTCTGGCCTAGGTTCTGGCACTGCTGCTGGAGATAATGGTGAGCCTTTGTTAGAAAGGCCAAGAATTTATATTATCTTGTTGGAAACCAGCTGTTTAGAAGAAAATTTCAATCAAATATTCTCTGTTGATGCATAGAATGGAGCTTTTAGCTAATCATGATACGAAATGGTGAATGATATTTTTTTTTAAATTGCTTTGCCGATGTTATTTTAACTGATCTGATTGATACAGAGAATCAGAGTTATTGGCTTAGTGCTGTCAGCTTATGAATGGACAATAAGTGCCTAATCTTTATTAATAGGGCATCAGCACATTTATTTAAATGGATTTTTCTGTAACAATTACACTGCCTGGTTTCATATTTTATTTCCAGGACTTTACTTTCCATTACATCACAGTGACACAAGTGCAGTTCCTATTGATGTAAATAGGATTATCTCCAGTGCCCAGAATGAAAATAGCCATTAAAGAGAACTAGAGAGAAATATCATAAAGTAATCTTGTGGTATTTCTAACGAAACATGTAGTGAAGATTTTCCCCTTTTTATTCTAGAATAGGACACATGGAAAGGATATTTTCCAAGAGGGCTGGAGATGCGAAGTCTGGGCTAGGAGAGGAATGATCTTTAGAGGATGCTTGGCCCATTAGCCTTGAGGAGGTAAGGGAAGCTGAAAAGGTCCCTGGGGAATGGTCCCAGTGTTAGTGTTAAAGAAGCCTATGAGCTCCTCATACTTATTGGAGGAAAGGGTTGAAGAGACAAGAGAGTGGAATTCAAGGAGACAATTTACTGTATTGGAAAGAAGCTAGAACTTAATGTGGCATTGTATAACAGTCTTTAGAATAGTGAACAATTTTGTCAGAAAGAAATAAAGAACTAATAGTGCTTTATGTGGTACTTTATGGATAAATCAATTGAGTGTCAGATCCATTCAAATCTACATTCCTAGGACTTGACGAAGCAGAGCTGAGGCCATACCAGGGGAAACTGCCTGGGGGAGAATGAGTAATGTTTTTTAATGGGGACTAGGACATCAAATGTAGAATGGAGAGAACGGTTGAGCAGATTGGTAGCTGTGAAAATGTCTTGATGGTGGATGGGATGCCTCACATAGATCTTTGGTACCACCAAGTCTGGAGGAAACAATAGCGATGGAGGGATGGCCTGAGGTGACATTATGGAGGAAGAAGTATATGGTCTTTCTGATCAGGATTATGTGAGGTTGAAGGTTCCGCTTGTCAAATGAGCAGCCAAGATTGCTAAAAGCCTGCTTCACCTTGAGATAGTGAATGGAAAGGGGAGAGATTACTAAGGGACAGAGTTTGTAGAATTGGGTGAAAGATGTTGTAGAACGCTATTAAAGGTTACAGAGAAGTTTAGGATGATGAGGAGGGGTAATGTGTCATGGTCACAGGGTGATGTGTGTGACTTTGACTTATGGCTGTGACAGAAAAGAATTGGAGTGATTTACTTATAGGAATGTCAAACAACGGCACAAATTTAGAAGGTGACAACATGTGCAGTAGGTTTGGTGATGATAGTTTGCAAATAGAGAGCAGTTAAAGGTGGGTTTCTGAATATGACGACGGTGGTGGTTTTGAAAGGGACGGAGACACTACCCAAGGAGGGGAAGCCATTTAATGGGGTCAGAAAGGCTGTTAGTGGGGGGAGGATGTGGTGGCGGTGTCAGGTTATTAGTAATGCTAATCATCATTGTTAATGCTCCAGGAACATGAGTTAAAATTCCTCCATAGTTGGAATTTGAAATCAATTACTACATTTGCAACTAAAACCTGGTCTAAGAGATGGTAAGCACAAATTGATCATTGTTAACAACACCTCTGGTTCACTAAAGGCTTTTAGGGACAGCTTCCTGGTCCAGCCTACATTTGCCTCCAGACCTACAGTAATGTGGTTGACTCTTAAAGTACCCTCTGAAATAGCCTGATAAGCTGCTTAGATCAAATGTGACAAGTCCTGGCCTGGCTGGAAATGGCCACATTCCCCAAAAGAATACATAAAATACAGTTTAGTGCAAATCAGGTCAAGTAATATGGCGATGACTCGTGGGCAAGAAAACAGACAAGAAGGAACTAGAGAAAGCCATGGGCTATGAGCTAAGGCACAAGGGAACCTGGAAACCTGGGATGATTTGGCCTGGCCTGAAAGGAGTGGAGTGGAGTGGAAGATTTCTAAACTTGTGGCTTCAATATTAGTGAGGAGAAAACCTTTGAGCTTTTTAAACCTGAGCATGAAGAGAGCACGGGAGAGAAGTTTACAATGTGATTAGTAGTGCAGACAGAAATCTACTTCTTGGTAATGTGAATAATCCTGGAGCAAATGGCAGTGTTGACAGAGGACAGCAATGCTCTAAAGTGCTTGCTGCTCTTGTCAAGTTTAGAGGGCAGACACCGCCCAAATGAACAGTGTATTGGCATTGTGCTGACCAGAAACTTGTCTGGCTCACAACAAGAAAATGCCCCTCTCTAGGAGGAGGTCCTGCTCTAGAGAGCTGTGAGATAATTTGATTGCATACAGGCCCGAGTGAGTCCCCAGGTAACGCCCAGAAGCAAGCTGGGACTACTGGCAGCTGGAAGAAGAAAAGTGATGAATCCATAATTTCAGGGAAGCCAGGGATTTTTACTTCGCAAGATCTCAATGAGGGCTGTGAGATGTTCAGCTTCTAGAGCATGTATGGGAAATGGCTAATGTGGGTGTTGGAGAGGGTTTATGATATCTTGGCAGGTGGAAGTGTAGTGAAAGCTGCTGGGCTGTGGAGTGCCCTTGTATTTTTAAAGTTTTGGCAAAGATCTGTAGCGTGGGTTGTGGATGAGGCTGTTGACTTGCTCGCCGAGCTGGCTTGTTTTTGTTCAAACTGTGGATCCTGTATGTAGATGGCATTATTTTTAAACGCAACAAATTAGAAGGGACCCACCACCTCATCAACAGCATATTCACAGGGATTAAATTCACAAAGGAAAAAGAAAACAACAATCAACTTCCGTTTCTGGATGTTAGAGTGATTGACAAACTGGGAGTTCCAAACCTCAGTATACAGAAAAGCAATCCGTACGGATCAAATCCTTAACTTCCACAGCAACCACCCCAACGTCCACAAACAAAGATACATTAGGACACTATTTAAATGAGCCACCACTCACTGCAAAACTCCAGAACAACGCAGGAAAGAGGAAGAACATTTATATAAGATCCTCGCTTTAAACGGATATCCCCGCAACTTCAGCCACAGATGCCTATTAAACAGACAACAACAGGAGGACACAGTATGCCCTAACACACTGGCCACACTGCCCTACATCAAAAACATATCGGAACTGACAACAGGACTCCTAAGACCAGTAGGAATCATGATGGCACACAAGCCCATAGCCATTCTACGACAAATACTTACAAGGATTAAAGACCCCATTCCAACAACATGAAGAAAGAACGTGGTTTACAAAATACCATGCAATGACTGCCACAAACATTACATCGGACAGACAGGAAGGAAACTAGCCATCAGAATACATGAACATCAACCAGCAGCAAAATGGCACGACAAACTCTCCTTAATATCGTTACATTCAGACAATGAAGGCCATCAATTTAACTGGGACAAAGTAACCATAGTAGCCCAAGCCAATCATAGACACGCATGGAAATTCCTAGAGGCATGGTTCTCCACCCATGCTTCAATCAACAAACATATAGAATTGGTTCCCTTATATAAACCCATACAGATCAAAACCGGAAATGACAGTACTCACCATAACAGACCGGACAGTATAAATTCCAAATGGAGTAGAATAACATCGCCTCATCAGAGGCTCCACTGATGATGTCACCTAGCATGGTGACGAAACGTCTGAACAAAAACAAGCCAGCTCGGCGAGCAAGTCAACAACCTCTTGCCCTGGTATTTTGCTACTGCATGTATTAAAGCAGTGGAGATGCAATGAGATCTTTAGGTGGCCTTATAGGCCTAAGGATAGACAATAAGAGGGACAGGTCAGGGGAGGGGGTGTGTTGGAAAGTTGGCAGACAGCCTACCCAAGTTAGGTTATGAACCCCCATATCTACCTTTAAGTTCACTGGCAGGGTTTATAAAATTCATCCCTTAGTGATTCTCAGCTAAATGTGGCATCACAAACATATATGGCCTTAAGAAGTATAGACATACACAGTAAAGTCCCCATTATCCGTTTTCTGAGCATCTGGAATTCCTTCTTGAATCTCGGACGCTGGTTGCAAGAGAATTTCAGGTGTTCTGGATCAGGATCACGGGACTTACTGATAATAGTGTTGGAAGGGAATAATGGATCAGATGCTA